TATTATGTTTTTAGAGTAACACGATAAGGGAGCCGTTCGTTGTTCGAAATAGCTACTACCCCAAGGTGACTTTCGTCTCTGGTAGAGGGGCATGGACCAAGTGTTTAGACAACTAATTCAGACGTCGAGTCATATAGCACTCACTTCGAGGACCGACGGTGGACCCAAATGAATAAAAGCGAAACTATTACTCTCGAGTATGTCCCTTGTAGGATAGTCGGTCACAAACTTCCGGGACTTCCGTAGTACGATAGCGTGGTAAAGATACGAGTCTAAATAAAACGAGGGGGAAATTTTCGTCGAGTATCCGACCGGCCAATAACATATCTTCTGATACGCTTCGTAGCATTCGTCTAGATCGATAAACTAGTGTACCTTCATGTGGTCTACCACACTGTCCCAGTGCGATTGAACGCGAGGAGCTCCATTGTTCATGTATTCTGACCGACTAACTAACTGACTGTGGGACCTCAGTACGTCCGTCTTCCGGTGTTGTGGTGTCAAACGACATTTCGCAAGTGTGAGAAACGATGTGTTTGTGTTATTACTACCTATGCGACCGTCCTCTAACTTGCTCACTTCAGACCGACGGACTTTGATAGTGGAAGAGGGTAGGGAGGCTTGATTTTCCGTGTACGTATTGCATTGGAGGAAGAAAACAGTGGAGAGAATAAGAGAAGAAAAGGAGGAGAGTATGTAAGAGAATGAAGGCAAAAGCACAAAGGAAGAGAGGTCAATCGAAGGGAAAAAAGCAAACAAGAACGAGAAGAAAACACGAAAGTAAAAGAGAAAGGACCACCGAACGAAAAGGAACACGGTCAGCGAAGAGAGGAGAGACTAGGAAAACGCTATAGAGTGCCCTGCGATAGAGAAAAGTGGGAGAAGAGGTAAAGGAGATCCGGACAAAATCGCCAAGTTACTCCGCGCTTCCTCGTTTCGACGACACGGACTTGACGAGTCGGCAAGACGCGTCTCTACTAGCTTGTAAATTTTTTCTGGTCATTTCTTAACCGGGAGTCGATATGACCTTACAGGTTCCCTCCTCTTCCCTGGGAAATGTCATACGTTTCTACATCGATTCTGTTCGGTGAGACAAGAGCAGTTCTTGTATTGTCCGTTACCTGTCTGGTGCCCCGATAGACCTTACTAACGTTCGGTCTTTAGCTCATCTCTTACGCGGAGCGAGTCTCGTCTTAGCCCGAGCAAGAGCACGGGCGGCCTACGACAGTCTCGATCTGCCGGGGGATAAAGGTTCACAATCGAGGTAGTAGTCAGCTGGACTTCCGCACGCAGTTAACTAACATCGGAAACTAGTATGCGGGAAAGTGTAATTCCGGAGAACTTAGGAGACGCACCATGACTGGGGTACTACCAGAAATTACCCAATCTTTATGCAACGGGCAAAAGAGAGACACAGAGGCCGACCAACCTCGACGACCAGGGAACCAGATCCTTGTACCGATCGAGTTGACCCCTTGATAAGAGCTCCGGACATGCGAATTAGGCGTTCTGACCCTCTTGACTACTTTTATTATCAGCGACCTCGACCCGGTCCGGGCGACGACGACGAAACGCAACTGTTGGGACCTTCTGTCGACTACCTTTTTCCCCTCTCGTATATATGGCTGGACACTCCACTTGCGCCTTGAAACGACTATATATTTCCGTAAACACGCAAGTTTATCAATTTGAACACTTTCCTCCCTCTACTATCTTCACGTATGGTAGAACCTCCCTCGCTCATATCTGCACGTTATGCGTATCACTATCCCAGAAGGACCGACCTTGAACGCGACTCGATGTAAGATAGTAGAAGGGTCACTATACCCTTAGGCTTCCGGTAGCCTCGACACCGCAAGGGACACAGAGCTAACTAAGGCCTCGCGTAGTCACGGTTCTTTTCTTTAGAACGTAATTAAAGACATACGTAACATATGATAATTACTTCTCTCACATCAGACCTCGAAAATTGAAGTGACGAAAATGCGTACACCGTCCATAGAAAGTAAGTTCAGCAAAGGGTAACTCTCATTGAACTAACGTGATTAATTTGCCTAAAAAGTTCAAATCACCCTTGCCCGGTATAGGAAAAGTTGCACAGAGCTGAAAACGAATTGAAAACGCCCAAAGCCGTAAATACGTACCTCGATCAGATGCCGAGTGAAGCAGAAATACAGAGATGAAAGAAAAAGTTTCCTCGTTGTTCCCAATTAAAATAACGGCGTGCGTACGACATCGTGATAGTTCGTTGTACTAGTAAACCCCAGCACATGTAAAACCATATGCAAGCTAGGATTTATTTGATATGTAAGGAGCCTATGTGTGGTCTAGTGTGAATAGCCAGATTACCTAACTAGTAAGTCCGGTACTAGACCGCATCTATACGAATGGAAAACCTCTGGGTAAATATTGGAATACTCCTATATATCGTGTTTTAATAACATATACCATGGAACCTTTACGACAATGGTCATCGAAAACTTACCGAACTACTCAAGCACATTGTCTCTCGTTTAATCGCTCCCTGTCAGGTCTGAACTAGGTTAGGGCAAGGTCTGGAAAGAATCCTGGGGTGCCTGATAACTTAAAAGGACGTTGGTGGTCCGCCCTGTAACGAAACGGTGAAAAGAGAGGAGCCAGGTTGGGGATCGAGAAAGAGAATTAGGTTCGCCGCGCGATATACTCTAGCATGAACCTTTTAATGCCCGAAGCAGTAAGGAACCTGGCATTTAAGTTGTTTATGTAGTCTGTACATCTAGTTAGACACTAATTAATTCAACTAACCTTTAACGCCCGTCCACCCCAGTTTTCTCCACACATATTCCAGGTTGGGTAAGGTGCCGTAAGCACAATATCAGTGGTTGTAAATTAATAACTATACCCAGGGTGCGGCTTGGGACTTAATAAAGTATTCGTCTGTGTTATGAATAACAGATACCATCCGATACAAAGTCACGGACGTTGTGCAGAAAATAGGCCTAGAACCTTCCATGCCTTCGACACACCAAAGTATTGTGTTTTTAAAAGAATCGAGTTATACGCGGTGCTAATAAAAAAATAAATTACATATTACAGCCTTTTAAAAAAAACGGTAGGCACTCCTTTTATGTTACCCAGTCTATGACGTTATGTGTTGATGATAATAAAAATTATAAACACAAGGAAGAAAACAAAGAAAAGATTTTATTGTTGTACAATACAATGAGTTGGTAATTTGTGTGTTAATAGGAACAAAATAAATAATAACAAGTTGGGGAGGCAATAGCTAAGCTCGAATGTCGTTGTAGTTGGCGTTGTGATAGTCTTAGTAAGCCGGTGTGTGGTGGTGTGTGGTGTGGCTGCTTTTTATAAGGGATGGGTGTGTCATCATTTAGACGAACAGTATGTGTCAACCTATCTGAAAACTATTTATCTGTAAAGTTCCAAAGCATCGGTATTTCAAAAGCAGAGGTTGGAAAACGGAATCCTCTGGCCACTTGGATCATCCTCACGCCTCACGTAAAGCCGACTTGACTACATGTAAAGTTTTACTTTACGTACCAACCTGAAATAGTGGACTTGGAGGAGTCGTTTTAAGTGGTTGCTCGTCTCCTAATCGTCTCCAATCGAGCGTTTTGACGTTGTATTTTAGACACCTTGCCTACGCTGGTAAAGGTGATAAACTCTTTAGAAAGAACACACTAACCCTTTTTTGGGATTTTAGCGAAATAAAAAGTCATTAAATGTAAGTAAGCACGTGGTATCGTCCGGCGTTAGTGCCACTAAGTCCGCACACTCGAACTACAGACGAGACCCCATCGATAACCTACCCAGCTGTAACCTGTCCTAGTCTGGACTATTAGTCTCTGTCTAACAGAACGACGTTCTACATCCGGGATATGGCACATTTGTGTACTCGCTGCTCCCTGACTGACAGTACTCTTCACCAATGTCTTAGGATTGCATTGACATCCTATGAGCCAAAAATCACTGCTCTTGTTCAAAACAAAAAATGTCCCCTCTCCCATTGAGAAAGTCAGCGATGACAAATCACAAATGAGGTGATAGTAAGCACCTAGTTTACTATAGTAGACGTGTAGTGTAGTATTCATTCATATAGTTACCCGTATGTATCCCTTGTTATGGGTTTGTGCACTGAAGGGTTTGACAGTTCTTTCTGTATTCATTTAAATGCACTTTGTAATGTGTCTGGGTCAAATGTGACCAAAACGTATGATTTTTTTGTTATTACTTGAAAAGTGAAAAAATAGTATTGCTACAGTACTACCTCTTTGTGTTGCATTGGAGCTCTTTAGCTGTTTTCTTTGTATGTGAGGAAATGTATTAAGACTGCTATTATTGTATTCAGTAAATGCACTTTGTGATGTGCCTGGTTCAAAGAAAATAACCTGAATATTTGACTTCTAAAGCAAACAAATTGAATGCTACAACTGTGCACTTTTTTCAGATTCTGCTAAATTAATGCTAATTTGTTGTTTTTTTATGCACTTTTTGACGTACCTTTGTTAGATGAACAATGAATAAAAATTGCATATTTTTCATCGCAGTAATATGTGTTGGTTTAAAATGTGTCACTACCCGCTTTTTACAGGCCGCTGAATGTCTGGCCCAGCTGAATTTTGTAGTTATAAAATCTGGCCCAACTGAATGTGTAATTGAATAGCCCTGCCTTAAAGGCACCTCTCAACGTCCTTGGTAACAATTACATGGACTACATACCAATTGATTACATGGGTTTTATATAAATAAAAGTGTATTACTTTTCGGTGGTAAAATTATGATCATTGAATAAGAACAGCCTGCTAGCTTAGCTGCAATTCCAGGCCTAACAGTAAAGCAGTGGGGTCCACATATTGTTAATATTCTCAATATAAAGACAACAAAAATAAGACGTTAGTCAAGTTATCAAATCAAAAATGTGCTTCAAATATTTACAATGAATATACAGATTCATGGACGCACCATAGGATGCCAAATCACCTGAGGACAGAGAGACAATACTAACCTGAGGGGCTGAGGGTCATGTTGCTGATGTTGACTCCCCCTCTGTTACTTTCCTCCTCCATGTTGCCAGGTAACAGGGCCCCTGACCCCACAGTGTGAGACCAGGCGGGCTCCTCCATGTCTTGGGGTCCTGACAGTAATGTAGGATAATCCAGAGAGCTGTTCACAGCGGCTTTCTCCACCGGGACCCAGTGAGACGAGGGCAGGGGGTCAGTAGAGCTCTCCTGGCTGTCTGAGTGAGTGGATGGAGCGGGGTCTCCTGATCCGGCGGTTTGAAACGGGGAATCGGAACGAGGGGATGAAGGTGAGGTGGAAAGGAATGGGGTTTGGGAATTGGCTGGAGGTGAGGAAGTTGGGGATGGGGAGGAGGAGGGTGATTGAGATTCAAACAGGGAACGAGCTGGGGATGGAGATGGAGATGGGGACGCAGTAGCAGAGTGAGACGGGGAGGGGGATGGGCTTGTATCTGTTGAGCTTGATGGAGAGGTGGACGGGAATAAAGATGTAGATAAATCAACAGTTTCAGTTGTTGTCATCCCCAGAGGACCAGCAGTAGTGGTGGGAGTTGCTGTGGTAGTGGACTGTCCCTTCCTGTGGCCCCTCTCTCTAGATCTTTCTCTGGATCTTTCTCTTGGTTTGCCTGAATCCGCTGGTCGACGTGAAACTTGTATCTCCCCTTTTGCTTCTACGCCACTGATCTCTCCACTCCCTTCTTCTTCTCCTTTCCCCTTCTCCTCTCCTCTGCTCCTGTCCTCCCCTCTGTTCTTCTTCCCCCTTCCTCTGCCTCCTCTGCCGCTGCCTCTGGAGGTCACCGTCTCCTCCCTCTTGTCCCCCGGCTGGGTTGTGGTCGCTGATTCAACGCGGACCCAGGTCTCCCCGCTGGATGAGTCGATTCTGGGCGCAGAGCTGGAGGCGGTGGACGTGAGCATCTCTGAAGTCTCCCCTCTCTTTTCGCTCTCTGTAGTCTGAGAGTTACTGGAGGCGTCCAAAGTAGATGCCAGACGAGTGGGAGATTCTTCACTGGCTGGTGTAGAGTTTTTGCTCGAGGGATCGCTGAACCATGAACTTCCCCAAGAAGACAAACCTGCTGAGGTCACAGAACAAACAAAAAAGAAAAAACAGAGTGAAGTGAGGGGATGAACAAAGCAACAATCCTGTATTCCTGCATATCCTGCATTCCCTCTGCATTGCCAAGGGAGACAAAACAAACACTTCTAAGATGTCTGAGCTGCCCGTCAGCTGTTTGTGTACCAGCAGCCGTCTACACTTCAATATGATCAGCATGCAAACCTGCGCACACTGCGAAGAAACTACTGTATGTTAAACATTATTATCACTAGGATAAATGCAACCAGAGAACACTGCATTTACGGATGAATAAACAATGGGAGCAAGATAAGTGAGGATTAAATTGTTTGCCAATTAGCAGAAGGTGCTACCATTATGAATGTAGGAGTAAGCTTTCAAAACAATATCACGCCGCCTTCATGACACATCAGAACCACTGTAATGACCTGTTTCTGACTCATGAATGCTGTTCATGTCAGCATCAAAGTTGTAATTACAGCAAATTAACTACCATTTATTTCTGAAACCTCAGATATGTTCGACTTGATGCTATACGGAAAATGTTAATTTAAAACAGCCACCGTTAACTACAGCAGACAAATAATTAGGACAAAACTGAGATGGATGAAGGACCAAATACTCTTTAAAAAACACACTGAAGCAGCAACTAAAGACCACCACAGCCTCAGAATTTAATGAATAAAAAGTTTTAACAAACAGCAAGCTTAATCCACAGCCAGCCTATAAAGACCTGAAGAGCTGCTGAACCACTTAGACACAGGAAAGAGTACAGGCTGATGGGATGGATTTCACTTCTTAAATTCTGCCTGTTGGAAGGAAACTTGATCATTCAACTCACGGTGCAAGGATTTAACAGTATCCCACTACATATGCAGTTCTATGGAGTATTTGTTGAAGGGGCTTTAAAGGACTTTTGTCTGTAGATTCACATCCTTATGATCCAAGTGTCTCTTTCTGTGAGCCTCGAATTAAGAGCTGAAGGCTGAACTCATGGGAAGCAGAACAAGACAAGGTCTTTGGCTATTTAGGCCTAACATAAGACTATATATATCACACAATCAGAAGGGAATAAGGTTTTAAACTGCCAATAAAGGCATTACTCTCAAAGTTTGTCGATGCCTGCAGAGTTTGTGTTTCTCACTGTTATAGTTACAGTTACACTGAAACGAGATATAAAATCGATTATCTTCTTCAGCTACAGAGGCTGTGAGATGGATGCCCTGGTTTTCAGTTCAATTTACTAAAGAAACATTATCGTAACTGAGCTCTAACAACAATAAACCACACAGTGTGAATCCACGTACTGTAATACTGAATAGCCGTAACGGCCCGTCTACACTACAGGCATAAAAAAATCTTGAAGCTGGGCGTGTCTGAGGCTTGGCGATTTTTTGCGAGCAACGCGACCAACAACCAATCAGGAGTAAACTGGATATAAACTCCCCAAACAGTTGAAAACCTACCAGTTTCACCAACTGTCTCTGCCACCTCCCGCCATGCCTGGTTCCTCCGGTTTAGGTCCCGGTGGGTGAACAGAGTACAGTCATACAGGACTGGGACACTTGCCACAGCAATGATTAATTTATCCTCCATTTTATGACATATGGAAAATAGTCAAGACCTGCGGTATCAGCATACATGCGGTTTGATTGGCTAGCGCTTGTACTGGCGGGAATTGCATAAACAGGATTTGATTGGCTGATGCCAAGCATCGAGCCTCAAAAGTTGAACATTGTTCAACTTTTGATGCCGATAGATGCTCGTGATGCTTGCAAAGCCATGCCATGCTCCCCACAATGCAGTTCGGCAAAGATTAAAAATCTTCTACGTCACCCCATTCAAGTGAATGGGCGAGGCGAAGCGTTGAAAGCATTTTTTGATGCCTGTAGTGTAGACGGGCCGTTATGATTCAACAGGCTAATTGAAAACT